TCAAACATTTCTCCAAATCAACAAAGAGACTGGATGCATGGTAAATAGTTAATTCCCATTTGGAACTCACAAGGAAGCTTCAATAATGTCTCAAATTGTTCAAACCCCGCAACGAAAAGTCAAAATCTCAACATAACCTCCAATATTTCTCATCAGATGTTCTTAGCTGTTCTCTATTTCTGTCACCTACTGCACACTGTTTAAACAATGTATAAAGTCTCAAGCGTTTTTCCAATAGAAAACTAATGGAAGCAACAACATTCCTATTAAACATCTTTGTCTCAAATATTTCTCCAAGTCAACAGTGAAACTGTTTCACTTACACTCCTTAAATCAGGTTAAAACTCAAACATTTCTCTTAAATGGTCTGAACAGCTCTCCGCATTCGTTTTCATTTGTTTCCATTTTGTCTCTTAAAATATGCAAGACATAAGTGAGATTAAACACAAGTCTCAAAATACCCTCGAAATGTATTCAAATGCCAAACTTTGGCAAACTTTGCAACCAAAACTCAGCATCTCAACAAGAACTCAAACATTTCTCTGCAAATGATCTAAATGGCTCTCAGCATTCATTTTATAGCTCATATACAGGACGACTTTTTGTGTCCATTTTATGTCTCCTAAAAATATAAGACATCACTGAGACTAAACAGAGCAAATAAAGTCTCTTACCTCTCAGACCTCTCAAAATGAAGTCTCGATATAGCTTCAAAATGTGTTCTAATTGCAAATTTGAAGCTAAACTCAAGATCTCAAGATAAACTCAAACATTTCTCCTCAAATGATCTGAACGGCTCTCCGCATTCATTTCATAGCTCATACTGGATGACTTGTGTCCATTTTATGTCTCTTAAAAAAAAAAAAACAGGACATAAATGAGATTAAACAAATACAATAGAGTATAATCACCTTTTTCTCTTAGCAAAAATACCCTCAAATGTGTTTAGATTCCAAACTTTGCAACCAAAATTCAAGATCTCAACTTAATCTCAAACATTTCTCTTCAAATGTTGTTGGGTGTCCATCGTCATTTTATAGTTTATACTAAATGACTCATTTGTTCATTGTATGTCTCCTAAAAAATGTGAGACATCAATGAAATTGATCAGAGCAAATAAAGACACCTTCTTCTCTCAAACACAATCTCAAAATAGTCTCAAAATGTGTTCAAAAGCATAACTTGCAACCAATACTCAACATCTCAACATAAACTCAAACATTTCTCTTCAAATGATCTGAACAAATCTCCGCATTCATTTTATAGCTCTGACCTGACAAATCGTTTTTGTCCATTTTTATGTCTCCTAAAAAAAACGTGAGACATAAATGAGATTACACAAATACTATACAGTATAGTCACCTTTTTCCCGGCTCTCAAACACAAAATGCCTTCGAAACGTGTTCAAATGCCTAACTTTGCAACCAAAACTCAACATAAACTCAAAGATTTCTCTTCAAATGATCTGAACGGCTCTCCGTATTTATTTTATAGCTCATATACTGGACGACTCGCTTGTGTCCATTTTATGTCTCTTAAAAAAAAAACGTAAGACATAAATGAGATTAAACAAATACCATACAGTATTGTCACCTTTTACTCGGATCTCATAGCAAAAATACCTTCAAAATGTGTTTAGATCACAAACTTTGCAACCAAAACTCAACATCTCAACTTAGGCTCAAACATTTCTCTTCAAATGATGTTAATGGGTGTCCCTCGTCATTTTATAGTTCATACTAAATGACTCATTTGTCCATTTTATGTCTCCTAAAAAATGTAAGACATTAATGAGATTAAACAGAGCAAATAAAGACACCTTCTTTACTCAAACACAAGTCTCAAAATAGTCTCAAAATGTGTTCAAAAGCATAACTTAAAAAGTCTAACACTCAACATCTCAGAGATCTCAGAGAGATCTGAGGTCAATCAAATACCACACAGTCACCTTTTTCTCAGATCTCAAAGACAAAATACTCTCAAAATGTGTTCAAATCCCAAACTTTGCAGCTAAAATTCACGATCTCATCCTAAACTCAAACATTTCATTTGGCAACACTCTTCTATTTTAGCTCCTCTAAACATTTTCCTATAAAAAAGTTGAACTCTATGAAGTCTCCTGATAACTAAATGAGCCTCGTCTGAGCATGACACCCCATCTACTCCCTTGTCCTGAAGCGAAGTGTTTACACACACACACACACACGCATACAGTAACATAAGCGCAGTGTACATGTGTATCGCAGACATGCAGAAAATGCGACGCTTTTCAGACTCACCCAAAAGTACATCATCATTTCAGCCACAGAAAACCCACTACAGATATCTCTCTCTCTCTCTCTCTTGAGTTCAGGACAGCTGGATTTTCTCCTCCTCCTCTCCTCCCTCAGACTTTTCTGATGTTTGGATGTCTAGAAGTCAGCTTTTTTTTCCGGGAAACACCTCAAGAAGCCGCGTCACTGTGAAACGATACTCTTTTACTCCTTTCCTTTTGCTCTCGTCTCACAGCGGCTTTACTTTAAGACTGAGTGTGAACCAGGATAACAGCAGCCTCCAGCGGGGAAGGAGAGAGAGAGGGAGAGAGAGGGAAAGAGAGAGAGAGGGGTTTTCTCTCTTATAACAGTATTGATGGCGGATGTGAGTGAACAGGCTCTACCCACAATCCTCTCAAGATTCGCCGTCTGAAACCCGACAACCGCCAACAAACAAACAACATACAGCAGAACATATAATGATGGAGGAGCAGAGTCTCTTTCTCTGTCAACTGCTTATATGCCAATAAAACAGCCAACCGTGTAGCTCTCGTCTCTTGGATTTATGCTGGGATTTACTAACTGGGCCGGCTCCTATTTCATCCCATAATCAAAAAGACAGACATAATAAGGTGTTCGTTTTGGAGGACAATATTATCTTTTATATATATATATATATATATATATATATATATATATATATATATATATATATATATATATATATATATATATATATATATATAT